GTAACAATGTCATTGAGTGAGAAAGGAGAGTCAATGGTGGAGGAGGAGCTCAATTTAGGGGACAAAAGGAAGGGGAGACGACATAATTGTCACCGTTAGGGGAAAAGGGAATGGTTAGGGAATAGGATTAGGAAAGAGAAATTAAAGGTAGGGTTAGGAAAGAGAAATTAAGGATTAGGACTAGGAGTTAGAAGGGGAATGCAGAATTTATAAACAAAATTCACACGTGAGTGATGCAGGCCTCCTTACACCTCGAAGACGCATATATAGCCCACACTATTTTGACAAAAGAAAACCTATAGCTCGTCTAAACTATTTCAAGGTAAGTAGCAAAGATGGACGGTTATGCTATGTAACACGAAATAATGTGTTGCTCAGCGTATTTGTTCAACACTAATTAACACTTTCATGTTCAAAGAACTTCACGTCATTCTAGGGGGAATTTATTGTCCAAATTCTATTAAAGCTTTAATAGAGTAAAACGGGTGCACATGCCCTCATGACAGAGGAAAGTAGCATCATGCCACAAGTGCACTTAAATTGTAGAAATTGTCTCACCTAAAGACTCCTTTTCAAGTAGTTATGTCAATGAAAGGCACTTCAGTGGGCCAAGCAAGTTACAAGAGGCACATTGACTTACCAAGGAAATTTCAAACTAGTTAGCTCAGTGGATTCCAAAACCTTCAACGGGACTAAATTCTCTCTATGTATCGATAAGTCATTGAAGAAGTTGCAATCGCCATGATGATGTAGTTTTTCACCTCATTAGTTTTCTTCTTTGGAGACGTATCTCCCAAATAAATGTAAACTTATCCTTAGGAATTAGTTAACTTAAATTCCTCCCAGCTTATCGGTTCTTATTTCCAGTAGGCTGCAGGAGATATTTTAGATTTCAACAGCAAACACAAAGAAAAGGGTAAGAAATAATGAAGTCCCTTTTATTTATCCACGTATATTTGCACACACCTCACATGCTCTTCTTATTATATTAAGGCCAACACTAAAAGAAAACCATTTAGGAAGAGGATCTTCTAAAAACATTTATTCAAATGTTTTTTTTATGCATAAAAAAGAAAGCAAATATGGATATCTTGTGTGCTCAAGAAGAAAAGTTTATATAGGGCCATAGTTTGAGCAATTAAACGTATCTTTCCTAAACAAAGATCATTTGCTTCATATTGTGATTTATAGCATTCAAAATTTAGGATTATTTGACTACAATATTGCATGCACATCGGGGCTACTCTTAGTTCAGATTTTGCATCCAATTTATGCCGAGATGTCGCATAATCTAGGCATATAAACTATACACGCATATAACCGATAGATGTTCTCAAATGTGGATTAAGCGGCCGCTTCAATGTTCTGAAGTGCGGATTAAGCCGCTGCTTATGAATAAGCGGATTGGTTCTAAAATGCGGATTAAGCCGCTGCTTATGCATAAGCGGATTGGAAACGCTCCGATTAGGGAGAAAACACTCCATTATACGGTCACCCGCATAATCGAGCGCATTTTCAATAAGCGCCTACATAGTTTTTTTATGCTGGCACTTTCCTTTAAATGCTTTCTGGGTTGAATCCATTTAACCCAAACTCGTCTTAACTAATAATGTAAATAAAAACCCTCCTAAAGTGCCACTACACTTCTCTCTATTCTCTCTTACTCAAAAACACTGGCTGCGACAAATATCTACGGACTCCGTTGACGCTTGATTCAATTTCACGCTACTCGTAGAAACTCACTGCAAGATTGTACAACCTCCAACGCTCTTTGACGATAACCCTGAAGCTCTCCAACTCCCCTCAAAGATCTCCAGCGAAACAGATTAGTCAAAGCTTCTAAGTATTTTTTCTAGTTTTCACGAATTTTATATATTTTAACATATGAATATATGCTAAAAATTCAAAAACACATTATTCTGCATAATTCGACTAATTGGCATTCAACACAATCTAATTAATCGTTAAGTGCTCCCGAACCACATGGATAATAAAACCGTGTTTTGAACATTGTAACTAATTACATGGTGTGTACACAAGCGCATAACTAAAAGGGCCTAGACCCCTTTTTTATCCAACCCTCAACTTGAAGACCCCGACACCCCGACCCCAAGTCATAGCCAGAACTCCCACAGATTATCCTCATCTGTTCGCCTACCAAATGTTCATATCCCTCTCTCTTGATCCTTCTACTTGACAAAGTGATGGTCGTGATCTGACACTGACCACCATGATCGACAATACGAAGTCATAACTCTCTCCCTCTCTTGATCCTTTCACTCATTTGTGCTGATTGATGAAGCAATGATAATGATCAAACACTGACAAAGCGATTGAAATTATTATTATTTTTAGAGTTGTTCCACTAGTGCATAGTCATATTCATAATACTTAATCAATGTTCAATTGCTCATAAACACCATCTTATGCGATACACTCTTTTTATTTTTATTTTTATTTTTATTTTTATTTTTATTTTTATTTTTTGTGGTCATTATATTTTCTTTATCCTTTTTGGATACATATAATTAAAAATCAAATCTGCAATAATTCTGTGTGATCCATTTAATCGGCACAATGATTGTCCATTGAGTGCTTACAGACCGAACATGTAGAGAAACCGTGTTTTAGAATCTTGCTCGAGTTTCCACCAAGCTGCTCTTATCTATTATTTTATTTAATGTTTGCATGTATTGAAAGTTTGAAACTCGTTACTCCACACTCAAACTTTGGTAGTTCAGAGGGAAAAGTACATGTTTTTTTTGTCGCCTCCACAACCCTAAAATCTGGATAAGCCCATATATTATTTGGCAAACTCTTAATCTACCTCCATCTCTTAATAATATTGCAATAAAGCGCATTGGTTGTATCCAGGATGTCACCATTTTTTAGCAACTTTGCACTCCTCTTTCACCAAAACTAGCCATAAATGTCTGATACCTTCTGGCATCCTTCAGATTTTGGTTACAAATGCAATCTAGACAGTGAAATATTAACCGTTTTACTAAAATTAGGCTATCAATGCCAACAGATAGCACAAACCAAAAAGTAACTTTTGAACTGTTTTTCAATGCTTCGAATTGAATGCCTCATGCATGCATATTAAATCCAAAAAGCTTTTTAACTTTCTCACAAGCATATAACAATGAGCTAGCGAACAACAAAAAAGCCTAAGGGCAAACACTGGATTGGTGGTTGAATGCCAAAAAAAGACAATAGGAAAGCTGATATCGGCTTAGTCAGAGACATCATCAAATTCTGGGATGCTTCTACACGGATTTCATTTTACTGGCAACTGGCAAGACAAAGCATCTCAAAAGAACAGACGGTTTATAAAATGTTTTTAAGGACACAATAGGTTGCCATGCATTCAAATAATATTCATTGCATTTAATAACCATTTATATACAATCCGGTAGTATAGTTTTATGTTTTCTGGATATAACTGGTTACCTAGCAATAGCATAGATCAATTGTTAATGCACTTAAGGTCATACCATAATAGAGCATTTAATTAAAGTAATTAAGAAACTATTATTGAACAATAGACTAATGTTGTAGAATCAATCTCGAAGAATTTTTTGTTAGTAATTTTTTTCATCTAATCCTATCATCAGATTCATTTCCCTTTCGTGTGCATTCCCTAATTTCTCTACGAAAAGAATTTATTTCCCAACTGATTTTATTACCACCAATTTCAGTCAATAAAAATGTTGAGGCCTTTGGGCATACTGCCTAGAATATAGATCACCTAGGCAAACACCTATTGCCACTCTATCTGTTAACTGAAAAAGAGTTGATAGAACAAAGAAAAAAAGGAAAAAAGGGATGAAATGACAGGAAAGAAACTGAAGTAGAAAAGGTGCATACAGCTGTTGTTGTTAAGTTCTTCCACAATATTTTCAAGGGAAACCTCATATCCTCTTGAATTATTGTGTTATAGTTCTCAGACAACAGAGCACCTCTCTTTCAAGGCTAATGAAGTTACTCAGAAAAACTAATCGCCATAGAGGTAGTTCAAAATAAAAAGAAGGTAAAGGATGATATTACAAGGTAACACGGAAGAAAATCCTTGAAATGGAAAGATGAAGGAGCAAGAAAAGATAAAGAAACAAGCCCATTGACTTCATCAAGGAAATAGTAGCTCATTCTCAAGAGGTAGAAAAGGAAAGAGTAGCAATCCCAAATCTATTAAGACGACAATGAAACCAAATAAGTACAAAACACTTGAGTTTAAGCAAATAAAAGGATGATGAATAGGGAAACAGAAAAACAAGTACCTTTTAGAAAAATCATAGCAATCAAGTATAGAAAGAACAGTATATGAATATGAGTTAAAATGAAATACTACATACAATAGGATGATATCTATCTGCAAAGCATTAACAAACATATAATACTTCCATTTTGAGTTGATTTCAAGAAAAGAAAAAAAAATCTATGAGCCAAGCATATGAATCTGGAATCCTCCAATCACGACCTTGAGGTTTCTATCGTGAGCACCGAGCAGAAATCTAAAATTTTCATGACTGCCTATTTTACACACATTCTGGAGCCTATTTTCACTATATATTATCTAAACCAAACAATAAACAAAGAGCCAGATGCTTTTGCGTTATAACCTCCAACCTATGATAACCCTCCTCCCTTCAAAGAAAATCTAACTTTTCATATTAAACCATCCAAATGCATACTACAACAAATATCAGTCATTTGACCAAGAAATCAGTTGAAGGACAGATCATATTGCTCTTAGTAACAAAGTCATTGATGATAATTAACAGACAAGTATAATAAATAACCTACAATTCCAGCATCACGTTGTTAGATCCTTAATAAACAAACCATAAGCATTCTTGATGAAGAATTCAATTATGACAAGCTAGAAAAAACCAATTATTCACAATGACGAAAAAAATATTCACTATAAAATACAACCAAAAAGCTACATGTAGGCTGAATATAGCAAGAAAAAAATAAAGAAAAGTTAAGGAACCTACAGAAGTCTTAAGCATTGAAGATGTCACAGGTATAAGTTGCTTGCTTTGCCTAATGGCCAACTCCTCAGCCCGAGAGGTACCGCTTGACGACTGCAATGACAGAAGATAGTAAGAAAAATGCTTTAAATGTAAATACCATGCAAACGAAAACATTATCAAATAAAGGACACATAGATTAATGAAACAACCTGGGGAGAAATCTGAGCTCTGAATGATGCATTAATCAATGCTTCTGCCATGTTCAATCCAGCTGAATTGCTCCTCGATAAAGACAATGGACTCACAGGAGAAGCCAATGTACTATCTCCGACTTCAGAAGGCACTTCTGCCAAAGGCGAAGTCCATCTATCACCCCCAACTGTGACCAAATTAGGTATTGGCACACTCTGAACGGCAGTTGAGACTCTCCCAGACTCCAAAACACTCTTTTTTTCTATAGAAGCAAGCGTAGGAAACTCTCTCTTAAAGGCAGAGCCCCTTTTAATGCCACCGTTATTCACATTACCCCTAGCAAAGGCACCACTTTTAGACTCACTCTCAAGCTTTTTAGGCCAAATCTCTCCAGCGCTGTTGCTTCTCCATCGCCGATCTGTATCAGTCCTACTCCCTATAATGGAATCTCGACTGCCACGATAATCACGAGAACTTTCTCTATCTCTATCTCTATCACAGGTATCGGGATTCTTCTTCCTATCTCTCCTCCCAAAATTACTATAAGCCTGTGCACCTGAACTACTTCTAATCGAGCTTTGTTTAGACTCTTGCTCACAGGGAATCAAAGGAAGTCTTTTTCTTCCAGAAAGCCCAACACCATTGCCATCTACACCGACCAAAACAACTTCATCTTAAAATCACACAGATGGGCAACAGAAATACGCACAAAATTAAATGCAAAGGCAGCAAGATTGCAATTACCCGAAACATTATTCGAAGCTTTACCCCCTTTTCCTGCTCTGTACCACTCAGGCACCAGCGCCGGCTCCGCGCTCCCCATCACAGGCTCATATTTTCAACATGCACGCACTCAAATTGAGAATCTGCCACTTGGGTATCAATCAAATTCAAATGGGTTTTCTCAGAATCAACAGATTATGGGTAATCTCTCAAAATCACAACAAATTAAAAACAAAAGTTACCTTAATAGGGAGAAATCTCAATTGGGTCTTTTCAATTTGCGAAGAAAAGCTAATCCCTCGGTTCTCTTCTCTCTTTCCAATTGGGTTTTGTGTTGGGTTCTCGAAATTGACGAAGACAGATGGAACAGAAATCTTTGTTGTTTTCTCTCTCTCCAATCTCTCTCTCTCTCTCTCTCTCTCTCTCTCTCTCAATGGAATCAGAAACCGAAGAGCGCAAAAGAAACAGAGGACGCAGTTTTAAATCAGAGAACCAATGCTGCGGGTTTTTTTGATTTTTGTTTTCTCTCTCTCCCTCTCTCTCTCTCTCTCTCTCTCTCTCGATAAGAAACGGCTGCTGCGTTTTGAGCAAAAACCCTATTATGATGTCGCTTGCGTAAACAAGTGATTTCGTTCTTTGGCTGCCAAAAGACTAAAAACGCTGGCTCCGGCTCTCGATGAAAATGCCACCAGACGCGTCGGACTTGGACCCCAAATACCGAATCATAAAGGACTCTCCAAATATTCGGATACCATATTTGGGCCTCAATTTTATTCACATTGATAGCTTTCCTTATATTTTTGGGTATTGATTCTGGGCCGAGATCCATAACCCACTCCATTTTGCTTTACTTGTCTGATTCCTACTAGGCCTGCAATTGTGGGTTTTTCTATCTGATAGGATACGCTACCGATGGGAGATGCTATCATATTTGATAGGATATGTTTTTGAACCTTTAGCTTGTACTAGTATAGTGTACGTGCAATGCACACGTGGCATCCTTATTTTATTATTCTAAATTTTTCATGGGTGAGAAGGTAGTACACTGGCTTGAAGGAAAAAAAAAGATAAAGAATTATTCATAGAAAATTATTGGAAAGAAGTTTTGAGTATTTTAGTACGCACATTTACAAATAAAATGAGTATCAATGGTCTATGAATCGATGTGAATAAGGATAAATAATTTTTTGACCGATTCGTTGTTATTGGCTTCTAAGGCTGAGCATGATATACATGTAGAACTAATCGATATTGAGAACAAAAGTAATGATAATTGTTGTAGTAATATATTATGTAGATAGATTATGTATGTGATGCAAAGCAAAATATGTAGATTTTGTAGTAGTTTGTACATAAGTAGTAACACGTAGAAAATGTCTATTTCACTTTTTAAAAAAATTGTTCATCACAACCTGAACTATGGGTATCGGCATACAAATAGTATTTGATTTTGGACATACATAGATGTAACAGTTGTTTCCAGGCATGCATCAATATAATTATATGACAAAACTTACAATAGCTCTTTCCAATATATATATATATATATATATATATTTATATATATATATATATATAAATATATATATATATATATATATATATAGAGAGAGAGAGAGAGAGAGAGAGAAAACGGGAGGTGAGCTGCCAGCGTAGGAAATTTCCTACGCTGGCGCCATGTGTTAATACCTTATTTGTTGGATACTCATTTATAGAAATAACATATTTTCGAGTGGTTAAATTTATAAAAGTTAAATTACCTAGATGTAAAAAACACAAATCTCTCCTGATTTATATCCTCCTTTCCTAATTATGCAACAAAACCTGCTGCCCTTCTTCCCCAAGCGTCGGCAAAATCCCTCAGCCCTCCAAATGAACGCCGACGAAATCCCTCAGCCCTCCTTCCCCAAGCGCCGGTGAAATCCCTCTGCACTCCTTCCCCAAGCGCCGGCGGCCCTCCTTCACATTCGTATCCCAAAAGCGCTGCTGATCTCCGCCAATCTCTTCGCTGTCCACGACCTCGACGCCAGCACCCTCAGGTACTTTATCAATCTTTTAGTGTCTGACGCGTTGTCGGCGACGATCTCAAGCGAACCCAATTCTTTATTTCTCTCTGATTTTCATCCCCTCGGTTCCCCTGATCCATTTTTGAATTATTAGAATTATTAAAATTTATTTTTTTAAGGAATCAACTTTAATTTTGAGTGATTGTTCTCTGTTACATGATGTTTGATGACTAATATTGTGCAAGATTGATGTGCAATAGAAAAGAATCTTTGAACTTCATCATTAAAGTCCTAATTAAAACCACATCACTAATAACTATATTATAAGACAGATTTCTGTTTCGGTAGCAGCATACCCTTATTTTGAATAAGTAGAAGCATTATGCAGATTCACAATGCTAAATTAATGCTAAAGTTTAAAAAATTATCAAAATCCTTAGAATTTATGTGCTCTTGCATTTTTTTTGAATAATTGAAATTACTTATAAGTTATTGTTTTGTTTTAATTTTAGCGAGTTTTTCTCCTTAATTTGCAATATGTGGTTTGGCAAAATTCTTTAATTTTGAGAAGCTTCTCGTGGTTCAAAAATCTTACATCTTCTGTGTTCTTGAATTTTAATTTTAATTTCTAAAATTTTGCATGTGTTGTGTAATTTCTTTAATTTTTTATTTAACTATTTGATGTATTTTTAATAATTATACTAATGGAAATTGATTAATATTGTTTAGGTAAAATTATCAAAATCCTTAGAATTTATGTGCTCTTGCATTTTTTTGAATAATTGAAATTACTTATAAGTTATTGTTTTGTTTTAATTTTAGCGAGTTTTTCTCCTTAATTTACAGTATGTGGTCTGACGAAATTCTTTAATTTTGAGAAGCTTCTCGTGGTTCAAAAATCTTACATCTTTTGTGTTCTTGAATTTTAATTTTAATTTCTAAATTTTTGCATGTGTTGTGTAATTTCTTTAATTTTTTATTTAACTGTTTGATGTATTTTCAATCTTTAGATGATGTAATTATACTAATGGAAATTGATTAATATTATTTAGGTAATTTTCAATATGGTTGATGTTCATGTAGACAGCTTGATGACTGATGATGTAGAAGAAAGTAGATTTATTGATTGTAGTAATACAGAGCATGAGTTGGAGCAAGAGAAAATTAATCATGTTAATTCTATTGATAATGGCAAGTCTAATATTGTGGAACCATAGATTGGAATAGAATTTCCCATATATACTGCTGCGTATGATTATTACAATGATTATGCAAAAATAAAAGGATTTAGTGTTCGCATAAGCTTAGGCAATTACTCTAGGAAAGAAGGAAAAGAACTCATATCAAAAAATTTTGTTTCTAATAAGGAGGGTCTAAAATCTACAAATGATAAGAGAGAGCACAGAAAAATAATAAAGTGTCGAAGAGATACTAGAGTAGGTTGCAAGGCGATGTTGCGGGTCAATCGAACTGATAAAGGAACATGGATAGTGAGCAAACTTGTTAATGAGCATACAAATCATGAGTTGACTAGTCCAAATAAGGTTAAGAATCATTATTCACATCGAAAGTTACATTGAACAAAAGGTTGTCGAAGTCTGATTGATAATTTGCATGAAGAAGGGCTTCCGCCAGCAATAATTTCACGAGTAATAAATATTGGTAGTGGGAATTGGGAGGAAATCATCACACCGCAACAATGTAGTGATCATATCAGAAAATAGAGAAAGAATAACATGGGTAATGAATGCATATCAATGTAGTGATCATATCAGAAAATAGAGAAAGAATAACATGGGTAATGAATGCATATTAGTCATTCAAAAATTCATAGATAAAAGGAGAAAATAGAGAAAGAATAACATGGGTAATGAATGCATATTAGTCATTCAAAAATTCATAGATAAAAGGATATTTGATCCAGATTTTTATTTTGCTATTGAATTAGATACTACAGGAACTATGAGGAGTGTACTATGGGTAGATGGACAGGCAATGACATCATTCTTAAAGTTTCACGACGTTGTTGTTTTTAATGTTACATATAGAACTAACAAGTTGGCACTGCCTTTTGCTCAATTTACTGGTGTTAACCACCATAGGCAGTCGACTTTGTTTGGTTGTGCACTACTTGCAGATGAGGGAGAATATGTATTTGTCTAGTTGTTTACTAAGTGGGTTAAAATGTATGAATGGAGTGGCTCCGCATGCTATTATTACAGACCAGGACAAAGCTATATACAATGCCATTCAAAGAGTGTTTCCAAATACTCGACATCGCTTTGCAAATAGCATCTTAGCAAGCACATGGTTGATCATTTATTATCTCTACAAAAGTTGCATGGAGAAGAGTGCGAACTACTAATATAGATAATGGCATAGCAAGACCATTGAAACATGTATTCAGCAATGAGATGAGTTAAAAGAAAAGTTCAATATAGAAGAAAATAAGGAAGGTTGGTTACAAACCATGTACAGAAATAGAACACATTGGGTTCCAAGCTATCTCAAAGATACTTCCTTTTCAGGAATGACATCAAGCCAACGTAGTGAAAGTATAAATGCCTTCTTTGACACATACGTCAACTCACAAACAAGCCAACGTAGTGAAAGTATAAATGCCTTCTTTGACACATACGTCAACTCACAAACATTGTTGCCCGACTTTGTTGAGCAATATGATAAAGCAATATCTTTGACACATACGTCAACTCACAAACATTGTTGCCCGACTTTGTTGAGCAATATGATAAAGCAATATTATTGCGTCGTTCTCAAAAATTAAGTGAAGATTTTGCTACTTTGAATACAAAGCCTGTGATGCATCTAAACCATCTGATTGAGATTCAAGCTGGAGAGTCATATACAAGAGCTATATTTGAGAGGTTTCAAGATGAGCTTAAAATCTTCTATATCTTTGTTTCATGATGATATGAGAAAAAAGAAGAATCAATTTCTAAATACATAGTTGGCTCGCTTTCTACTGAAAGAAGTGTATGGGAGCATGTAGTTTATAATCAAAATGAACAGAGAATAACATGTACATGTGCTACGTTTGAGACTGGTGGAATATTATGTAGGCATGCCATTCATATTATGAAATCAAATCAGTTGGTTAGAATTCCTGAAGAATACATTATGCATAGATGGACAATGAATGCAAGGCACCGTAATATTAGAGTCTCTAATGTGTTGCTAGAAAAAAAACTTTAATAGTAATAGAGAACAATGGAATACTTTGCGCTCTTAGGCTATGAGAGCAAAATTTAATAACGTGATGGAATGGGCACCTGAATCACCTATGGTTTTTGATGAAATAGATACCTTTTTTCTAACTTGATGGAAAAACATAAAAAAGATATCAAGCAAAATCAAGGGGACTGAAGCTACAAGTCGGGTTGAATCTAGTACTCATTCCTATACTATTGAGAAACTCCCTCAAATCCCTGTTCGTGACCCTCTCGAGTCTACAAAACATATGGGACGACCGAGAACAATTACCAGATTAAAATCAGGACTTGAACAAGCACAATAAAAAAGGAGATAAAAAAGAGGACATGCGGCAGATGTGGTCAAAAGGGACATTATAAAAGTAGTTGCACTAATTCTCTTGTTGCTAACCTGTCAAATAACTAGGTATTTTAATGTTTAATTAT